CCCTACGACTGCTACGACTTCTATTGTAGACCCCGCATAAGCTTATTGGCTACTGCGTCGTATTTTGCCGCGCGATAAGCGTATAACAAATATACGTATAACATAAAATTTGCATTTTATTTTGTTTCCTACACCGTTTCCAACACTTCATTTTTAAAAAATGGCGCATTTGTCATAGGCTGCGTTCAGCAGACTCGACAGTTTTGCAACCGTTTTATGATTGTTTGCTGAGATAGGACCATTCTTCTAGATCTAAAAGTATGATCCAATTAGCGCGAAGGAAACTTCCAACAGTTGCAAAACAAACGTTCTGCTGAACGCAGCCATATTTTGCGATTTTGGGCGACTTGAGCGCTCTCTTTGGGCGATTTTACGTATTATATATCTGGCAATTCTGTCCAAGTGCTATGCATAAATTCTCATGTCATTCTTTGAATGAAATGGAGTGAAAACCCTGTTGTGGTGTTGTCTGATTCTTTTGGTTGTTACACTGTAAACATAAATAATATGTAATCGCGAAATATCGAACTACGCTCGTAGAGTAATATCGTTTGGCTGGTTGAATATATTTTTTGTTAGGAAACAATTTGTTTTTAAGTATATATATCAAAAGTATGACTGGATTACTTGCATTCTGCATAGTCTTTTTAATTCTTTATTGTTTTTTTACTCGGTAAGTGTTGAAATTTATTGAAAAATAATGTCATCTTAAAATGAAGTAGTTGTACATCACAATTATTTGTTCAACAGAGTAGTACCAAGGCTATTAGCATGGATAGTGAAACGTCGTTATAAAATTCACTTGCGAGTAGGCCATATATCTGTACCTTATTTTATCTTCCGTGATGTCAATGTAACTAAAAATGGCTTTACATTGGTGAGTTTTTCAAGTTACTATATAAATGCGTTACATATAATGCTATATGAAAGCAATATTTAATTTTAGCAAATTGAAGAAATAAGCATACGAAGCAGCTTACTTAGTAGTGACGTAGCAAAACTGTTAGCTGTTGTTATGAGAGATGTCAGAATAAATAAGGATATTCCAGTTGTGTGTGGTCCGACATGTAAGATAAAGCAGTCCAATGAGTTATTGGATTTTAGAAACAAGAAAATACCTCCAATTATAATAAAATGTGTCCAGGTACATGTGCAGTACTAAAGTTTCAAGTTGTCATATTTTTCTATGTATTATAAAATTTGACATAAATTATATATATGTAATATATTATATATACATACACATTTATGACTATTAATTCATTTTAGTTTACAGCTGTACATGTAGAAAATATTAATCTACTGGCTCTTGGCAATGGTTGGTTAGCTAATGGAAATGCAGAAAGTTTAAGTTTGGATGGCAGTATTGTACATGGTGCACGCACGCTATTAGCATCTGCTTCTATTGTTGGTGGAACTATGAAGCTATTGCGACATGCTTCTGATGCATGTCTCTCTCAAATAACATTTGCTGGAACAGTAGAAGCCACGTTTAAAGCTCAAGGAGAGCTTTCGGTTGAGGTATAGCATCGAGCCTTGTTGCAATATTTAAAAATTGATAGAGGAAAAGATATAGTCTTTTGATAACAGAAATTTTTTGTTGCTAAAATTATAAATGAAATCTATTTTATGCCTTATGGCAGTAAACAGATTTTTAATAAGTAAATCTGATCATCGAAAGGAATTTTCAAAAGGAATCAAGTGGGATCTAATTTATAGACATTATGTATCGGAGTGACGCAAACTGAAGGATCTGGCGGTGCAGGTCTTATTCAGTTCTTGAGAGATATAAGTTCACCAAGTACTACAGTTTGTACATGCAGCAATGTACATAATAATTCCTCTAATAACTTAATGACTAGAATAGCACCTATTTTGCCGAAAGTAAGTCTCCTTATTATAGAGATTATAAGCAGTAACAAATATTGTTTATCATACTCTCTCTCTGTACACTTGTAGGATTTCACTCTTAAAGTCGGTAATTTGTTGATAATAGCTGGTAGAGAGGATAGTAGTATGATAGGTTTGGAAGGTACCTTACGAAGTCTTCAAATCCATGCAAAGTTTCAAGCTAGTAGAACGCGATTGAATTTTACTGTAGGCCTGGATGGTTTGTGTGTCCGTGGAAAGGTTCCTATTTTAACTCTACATTCGCTATCAATCGATACAAAGGTAAGAATCGACAACATTCATGTAAAAGTAAATGATATGAGAAAAATGATAACTTTTAATCACGCTCACTCATGCTGAATTTTCTACAGATGGAAGAGAATATTTTGTGTGTTGACATACAACTGAATAATCTTTCAATACTGTATGATCATAGAGACTGGGAATTGTTGCTATACAATAATGAGAACGACATTTCAAAGCCTGTTAGCAACATATCATTAAAAGATAGATTACCGAGTTTTGAAATAGCATTAAATACTGAGCTATATGATTCTTCGTTGAACATAAAATTACCAGATGTGCAAGAAGCATCTTGTGGCGTTGCACATATGAAATTTGCCCTGAACTCGTCTACAGGTGTGGGGGTCATACTTTTCTTTTTATTCTTGCTTAAGTAAATCATGAACTGAATCGTTAATTTCTGCGATTTGTTTTCTGTAATAGACAAAACCAAAAATTTAAATACAGAATTGGTCGTTGAATCTTTATATTGTGCATTAAATGGCGCCAATAACAATATCTCCGAAACCTCTCATCAATGGGGCAGTCCACTTTCTATTGGAGTATTATTAGCAACAACTCGTAGCAATGCCATGGGAATTGCAGTTGATGCTCTTGTAACAGAATGGAGTTTAGAGCTCGCAAAATTTCTTGAGCAAGCTTACAAGTAATAATAAAGTAATTTACGTATGCGATATTAATATTAAAAATGAAAAATGTAGCGTGCAAGTGAGATAATTGTAAAAATAATTGTAGGTGTTACAATAAGTATCGGCAACCAATGGAAAAAAAGAAGGATACAATATCGTGCAATTCTATCCAATTGAATCTTAAAGCAACAAACTGCAATCTATTCTTCATCGCAGAAAACGAGCGTAAGTATCTAATAATGTCACGTCATCAAAAAAAATTCTTTTTTCATGTTATACATACTTGTTTTCAGTATCTATAATGATGCGTTTAGATGTGGCGACCGTGGAACAAAACGCAAAGCGATTCGTAGGCGTAGCAGAAGGTATGAGTGCGATAACTCTCAACAAGAACGAGCCAATCATGTGCCAACACGCCCAAGCTTTAACGCATCCGTTTCTGGCAATACGAAAGTGCAAAGCTGCGATTAATTCTGACGCCGTGAACATTAGTCTTGATGGGACTAATTTAGCATGGAGTCCTAATTTACATCTTCGCTTATTGCAATTCTGGGTGGAGTCTGAAGATTTTAGATCTATTGTCAGAAAAGAAATGAGCGTGACTCATATCGATGGTAATATCGAAGGTATCGTTGAATTAATGCTAGGAATTAGTCGCGGTCAATGTTTTAACATAATTACTCTTACAAATGACGCGGGATAGTCATAATCAGTTTATTTTCAGAAGTGCAGAAAAAGAAACGCGTTTTGGATTTACTAGCCACAGGTGGAATCACCATCTCTATAGATATTTCTACTAAACATTTCTTAATACTGACGTCCGATCAGCTGCGTTGGTCACAGGGCGAATGGAGACTCACCTACGTTCGAGTTACCCTAGACATGGCTGATGTAATTATGATCGAAGGTTTTGAATTGATTACAATAGCCGATAATGCAGAAGTACGAGCAGAGAGACAAAGCAACGAGGGTTTTGTATTGGATTGGAACGAGTGCTGGGCAGTCAACATCGATTCCATCAAAATTTGTTTTCCGTATGAGCATCAGTTTACAAACGCGATACAAAATGAATTGCTTAGTATCAGAAAGTGGCTAAAAGAAATTCATTCCTCGAGCATACCTAAACAAGAGTTTTTGCCCTGCGATTTCATCATCAAAATCAAAGAGTGGACGTTCGAACTCAGCGATGATCCGTTTGAGGTACGTCTGCGCGACAATTACGAGCTACTGGAGGACGAGTACAAAGAGAGCTTGAAACGACAGGCGATGTTGGATACCAAGGTACAGGAACTTTGCCGCGCACACTTATTGCTACCGCAAGGAAAAGTCGAAGAATTATACGCCAGCTTAAATAAGAAAAACGCAGAGATCTATGTGCAGAGATGGAAACAAATGCAACGAGCAAGCCCCGCGAGGACTCGATTATTCGCCTGGACTATGTTGGATTTGGAGATATTAGCCTTAGCTGATCCGTCGATAAATGGTACGGAAAAGGCAGTGAGAGCACTCCGAGAAATGGACTCGGAAACACCTTGGCCCGAGGACGGTCTGGAATTCAACGCCGTATGGGTCCGCGGTATCAGTCTGAAATGCGCCGAGTGGAAGCTTCAGCTTCGCGATTTCCCGCAGCCACTGCTTCTGGTGGAGAACTTGAATATATGGGGCAGATTAGCCGGAGCGGAAGCTTTAGCACCACCGAGAGCGAAGAGGACTGTTAGAATTGAAATCGGCGCGCCATGGGAAGATATAGTGGTGGAAAGAGGAATGACATCTCTCAAATATTATCACGATCTCAATTGGGACATCGACAAATTCCGATATGCGTTCGGTCCATGTTGGGAGCCGGTGATAGCACAATGTAATCTCAGTTTCGAGAAGATCCTTCATCCATCGAGAGATCCGAGCCCGCCGTTGCCGTTCTGGGATAAAATGCGACTGGCTCTTCATGGTAGACTGACACTCTGCGTAAAACAACTAACAGTACTGTTGCATGGCTCTTTGGATCCCTATAACACCACGGAAGAGATGGAGCTCACATGGACCGGATTGGAGCTCGACTGGACGCAAGGAAAGATCATTATTAAGGGCGATCTTGATGTATATGTGCGTACAGCTAGTAAATACGACGACTGCCGATTATTACATTTGCCTAACGTCAGATTGAGCATTAAATTAGCATGGGTATGCCTAGGTGATCCGCGTGATCATCACGCTGCTATACCTTGTGCTCCAGATCGATTGCCCGAATATTCGAGCAATCAGGAACACGATTCATTTAGGGCGTTTCGCTCTCAGAACTTGAATGTCAGCCTCTCATTGGAGACCAAGCCGACTGGCTCACCTACGTTGACTAGTGCGCCAACGGCACTGCTCTATGGCAGCACGTTGAGATGGTTCGAGAATCTGAAATTAATTTTGTCAGGCGCGACGAGACCTACGAGAAAAGGTCCGTTGTTCAAAAACATTCGACCTAGGAAGAAACAACTCAGCAGACACTATAGGAAGGTCCGGCTGACCTTAGCCTTCCATCGTTTCCATGTCAACTACTGGATGTCGTTCGCCATGCAGAGAGGTTTCGAGGTGACTGGCGGTCGAGTTGCCTGCAGCTCGGAGCACAATCTTGCATTGCATCCGATTGATGATGGCCTGGTTCATCGACCACGGGCAGAATGGTCCATCATATATATGAATTGCGAACTAAGCGATGCCGAGATTTGGTTGAAAAGTGCACTACAGGAAGACGAAGTGGAGAGCGCATCGCTGCGTCAGCCGGTCGAGAAGTGTTACTGCTTGAGCGTGGCTCGCGTCAGCTACGGCAGGGAGGCGATGGTTGCTGGGGTGAGTGGCGACACGCCGATTCACAGATTGGTTGTACACGACCTGCGCGGCGCCTGGACCAAGACCAATCGTGATGTCGCTTTCGCTCTTTTTGATTCCTTCATCAAAACGCAGCAACTGAAAAAGAATCTGTCAACTGCAACATTAAAGGGTTTCCACAGGGACAACAGCTCGACGCTCAATCCACATAAAAATCGTGCTGGCAGACCGATCGTGGTCGATCAACAAGGTACCTCCACGCAGGTCGTAACACCGTCGTCCTCCGTGAAACCGCAGCAAGGCGAGGCGGCGGGAATGTTGCAGAGATTGATAGCAGAAGCCACAAACAAACCAGTGGCTTTCAGCGACGATCTGTCGGTGCAAACTAGAGGACAGCAACTGCGCGGGCTAGCGGCGTGTCACCAGGACGACGTCTTACATAAAAACTGGTTAAGTACGTAGTTTGATTTCATCCTCTGCCTAAAAATAAATTTTCTCTATCCATAAATGCTAATACATGATATTTGCATGAAGGATCGTTTGAGATAAGGACCAGAATAAAAAACAGGTACAAAATAAAGTGAAAAACAAAAAAATTTAATAGACAAAATTCTTTTCAGTTGCTCTAGTAAACAGTCAAGTGCTGTTGAAAGGCATTGAAACCCGGGGATACGTGATTCTCTCGGCAGCCAAAGCGGAAATACTACAGAGAGTACACCATCCGGTTTGGAAGGAGCGATCTCTCGTTCCGAAAACGACTTGGGTCGGCTCGTTAGAATGCATGCAATACTATGCTACTGTAAGCGCAAATATCGACGACAACATTGATGACAATATCATGTGGCTGACATTGGATAACATTCAAGTACGTTAGTATTGGAACGTAAACGGTATTATGCGTAAAGCAAACTGGATGTTATACTCCACCTAGCACGTAATATCACAGTAATATCACAGCAATATCATTTTTCCAATGTAATATTACAATGAAATCTAGCAGAAATATCGTTAAAATATTACTGAGATGTCACAGTAATATTACAATGTCTGTGAAAATAAATCACAGGAACATTACTGAAATATATCACTATAATATTATGTAATATTTCTGTGATATTTATGTAATGTTTATATTTATGTAATATTTATTGGGAAAAATCTTAATGTTTTAAAGAAAATTTTTTAAAGAATTTATTGAATTGATATTTTTAATGTTATTCCATATGATATTAATTATTCCAATTAATATTTTAAAAATTATTTCATATGATATTAATTAAAAAATAATACTGATTGTTAATACAATAACTATTACATAATATTATAATAAACTGAAAAAGTTATAATAAACTAAATATCACTTATAAAATTATGTGTATGAATAATTTTGTGACATTTTAATAACGTCTTAATAACGTCTCAGTAAAACATCATGAAAGCGTTATTAACTATAATGTCACTACTACTTAAGATGTCATATTGCCACATTATTACTGTGATATTTCAATGTTGGTTATCAATATGTAATATATCATTAATATTTCTGTGATATTATATTGTAATATGTAATATTTTTGGTATATTGCAATATTACTGCGATATTACTGTGATATTACGTGCTATGTGGGACTGTATTTCACTGTATTTTAGGAGAAAGATTCTACTATCATAGCCGGTTTGCCGGACGTCCCAGCTCTTGTGGGATCTGGTCAGAGTGTCGGCGGTGTAGTCAGCCAGACAGTGGGAGGCGGCGGCGGCCCACAGCATCAATTGCAACGCATAGTGTCTCGATGTAAGTGCGAATTCTTCTATGTTGGTTATGGGCAGACCTTAGATGTGGGCTCTGTGGACCAAGTGCCAGCTCCGCCTAGAGAAGAAGTCAGCCCGTGGGAAAGGAAAGATCTAACCGCGGCTGACGCGTTTACCTTGATGCATCATGATCTAGATGTGTGCACCAATTCATTGCAATATGCGATGATCCTGGACATAGTCAACAATTTGCTACTATATGTGGAACCAAGGCGAAAAGAGGCTTCGGAGAGGTTGCAAAGGATGAGATTCCAGTTGCAGCTGCATTCCGTCGAGGATCAAAAGAGACCGATACAGCAATTACAAAACACGGTGCGCGGTTTGGTGGCAAAATTGAGACGGTTGGAACGCGAGACGTACTTGGTGCAGAAAGCGCTGGCTGACGAGTCCAGTCCGGAATTACTGACCAAGATGGAACGTTTGGAAGCGAGCGTATTCGAATGTAAGGAACAACTTGGTGCCAAGGCAGAGGAATTGGACGTCATGTTGAGTTGTTATAAAGAAACCACTGCGCCAGCAACAGCATCAACTACGCTTAAAGACAAGCCAGCCGCGGTGGCCAGGGTAGCTGAAATTTGCTTTAAACACGCACAATGGAGACTGACGGATGCGGACGGTCAGTTGGGTATCGCCGATCTTATTCTAACAAATTTTCTTTACACGAAAACTAGCAAGACCGATGACTCGGTGGAACATCTGCTAGAGCTGGGATACGTTCGGATGACGAATTTATTACCGAATCAGATTTATACGGAAGTACTTGTACCCACAGAGCTGCAGAGCAACATGCCTGTGGACCGACAAAGAGCTCTTCGAGTCTTTTGTAGAGAAAAGGCGCCGGTAGCAGGGATTTCCGTGAAGGAACACTTTGAAATCAATGTAGTACCTCTTACGATAGGTAAGTAAATGTATAACTTGTGTTAAATACAATGGAGCCTCACTCCTATGTGTCACGTTATATGTGGATCGTGTTTCTTTTTTCTTCACACAGGTTTAACAAAAAAGTTCTTCAATACTATGCTTAAATTTTGCTTCCCTGAGAGAGATCCAGAAGGCATAGAGGAAGCACCGGCACCACAACGTGATTCATCCTTCTATGTACCCATTGAGAGGAGAGACGATGTAGAGAAAATGAAGGAAAGAGCAGACAAGAACAAATTGTTTATATATATTAAAATACCTGAAGTACCTGTTCGCGTATCATACAAGGTAACATTTTGAAATAAAAAAATTAAATGTTTGTTATTTCTGTTCCTCAAATATTTTAAAAAATCCAATACTATTCTTGCATGCAGGGAAATAAAGAAAAAAATCTTGAAGATGTACGTGACTTTGCTCTGGTCATACCGACTTTGGAATATCATAATGTGACATGGACATGGCTCGATTTGCTTTTGGCCATGAAGAGCGATTCCAGGCGTGTAATACTAAGCCAAGCTATAAAACAAAAATTGCAAATAAAACCGAGAGGACCACCTGAGGAATCTGCACCACAGGAGGAGGACAAGGCTCGTCTTTTGTTAGGTACCAGACATCTTCCTGGGGACGCGAGAAAAAAAAGCGTGTTTAAATTTAAGTAATTCATGCACCTAAAGATTCATGTAACCATAATAATTTATTTGTCGAAGTATTGATAAACATTACGAAGTATTGAAAACTCACGTTCATCATCTAATTAAATTGTACATAATACATCTCATGTTATTGTATGTGTATGATATAAAATATGTAACAAATATATATACATGTATGTGTGTATATATATATATATATTGTCGTAAATATTGAAACATCTGCGTTTTATCTTTTCTATACATCTGTGACCAAAAGAATTGAAAAGATATGATACTCATATAGAAAATTTCTTTAAAAAATGTACAACAGCTTGTAATTGATCTTTTTATCATTTTATTTGTAACTTTTCTATTATGCCAATATTTTTCCTATCTGTTATAGTAATCTTAGCATAGCAATCAAATATTATAAAAATTATTTAGAAAATTTTCTACAGAATATAAAGAATATGTTGTATAAGAATTATATTTTATGAAACAAATTTATTTTTGTCTAAATAAATTAGTTTTACATCTTTACATGCACACATGTTCATACATACATATACACTCAATATGACAAGAATTCCTTCCTCCATGTTAATGTACATTGACTTTTTAAACCAGTAATTCTCTTAGATTATGTACAATGTTGAAGTATATTTTGCTTTTAATCATCTACTAAATATATACAAAGTTAGAGAGTTATTAGAGGTGCTTCTGCATTTTTCTTTGCATGTCTCCATGCATTCAGGTCTGCCAAGATTCGTCTGCCATATGCTGTATGAAGCTCTCGAAAAGTTATTCTAGTCCTAGGTACGTTCTCAGTCCTACCAGGTGCCGATCTAACGCTCTGAGAACGATGATGAGAGTCTGGTCTATTGAACGGATTATGTCGTTGTCTTGGTGGAGCTTTAGGAGATTGTTGAATCGGTGTAGAAGCTGTTTCTTCCTCTACAGAATCCAACTGACGTTGTAATTCTGTTACCATAAGTTTCATATAATCATAACTGGCACATGCCAATGCCTTCATCCATTGTTCCATAGATTCCTAGATACCACTGTCTATCATTAAACGCGTTTACTAAGAACAAGTGTAAATATAGTATTGGAACATCTGTTTACCTGAGATTCTGCAGCTAAAACATAACTTCTGTTGTTTGGTCCATGAAAAACTATCTTGAAGCCAAATTGTTCTTCATCCTCTGCCAATTCAATCGTACAGCCTTCCAGCACAATCATGCCTACCGGCTCTTTATCACCGCGACGATCAAAATAGAATAATATATTTCCTTTGAGAACACACCATCGCTTGTGATATCCACGATTTATCTCTCCACGTTTATTCAACCAACCTTCACGGTCTACTGGCGTTGCAGAGGTTGCAAACACTACCATATTCTTCTCATTGATTTTCATGGTTTTTAGCAACGTACTATCATTCGATCTAGAATTTTCTGCTAAACAGCTGCAGCACGCGATCAAATGACTTACATCAAATTACGTTTAGAACAGTTTAGAACCGCGATGTATTACGAGACATCTTCTTCTTTAATTATTTGGCTCACGCCTCCGTAAAGCAGGGGTGGGCGATTCGCATTCGATTATTTTGACATCAATTTTTTTGGAAAAAAAATTGATTTTTGAGTTTTTTCAACTCAATTATTCCCTAGACGGTCTTTTGTTTGATGATACTAAAGGCCATGGCACACACATTCCGTAACAGTAACCATAAGACGTACCGTAAGAATCAGCCAATTAGAATTAAGAGTTCAAAAGAATTCTCTACTGTGATTGGCTGATTCTTACGGTACGTCTTATGGATACTGGTACGGAAGGTGTGTGCCATGGCCTTAAGGCTGCGGTCCACTTAATCACTTGACGCTACAAATGCTTCGAAACATTCTTTGATTAGTCAATTCGTAAAATTCTTTGTTCTGATTGGTCGTTCAAACGCTTCGAAGCGTTTGTAGCGTCAAGTGGACCTATAATAGTTAATAAATTCCAAAGACTCAAGCCTGTCATACATGAAATGCATAAGGGTTGGTTTATAATAGGTCGTAATCTATTAACTTTCTGTAATCTGTAAGAATTGACCAATTACAATCGAATGAGAGGAGAATAATTGACTATGATTGGTCAATTCTTACAGAACTTACGGAAAAAGTTAACAGGTTACGGCCTATTATAAACTAACCCTTAGGCCGGAATCAGACTACGCATTGAAGATTGAGATCGAAGATTGAAGATTGAAATTTGACCAATGAGGGCAAAGGAATTTTAATTCCTATTGTTTTGATTGGTCAAATTTCAATCTTTCAATCTTCAATCTCAATCTTCAATGCCTAGTCTGATTCCGGCCTTATGGCCGCAGTACAGACTCTTGCATAACGCATAATGCATAGTGCATAAGGGAATCGACCAATCGAAATTCTTCTTTTCCATGGAATGGGAGGAAAGGAAAGATTCTGATTAGTTGATTCGCTTATGCACTATGTGTTATGCATTATGCAAAAGTCTGTGCTGCGGCCTTTACAGGGCATAAGCATAACATAGACTACGTTTACACGGCCCGATTTACGCCGAAGCACCGACGAGATACTATTAAAGACCGTCAATCTTGAGCAAATTTTCGGCGGTATAAAAAAGGCCCCAAGGGCCCGGAGGTAATCGAAGAACGCTGACATTATCGATAATTGATATAAATTTGCTATTATTAACATAGATATTTGACTAATACATTATTAAATTCATGATATTTTATTACATAAATGCTCTATAAATAAATATGCATATTTGTAAAGCTATAATATCCTATATATTGTCGAAAAATTACAATTTTTTTCTCTGCAGTTATTATCTCTGTTGATAATCGAACTTTGACGATAACATTGTCGATAAATTACAATTTTAAAGAAAAATCGAGTATTATTAAGTTTTAAATGCACATACACCGATAAACACGTCTACTAAACTAATAAATCATAAAATTAGTACAATATTATCAGTTTTTTTACTCTTAATCACTTCAATATTAAAACTCCCATAAGGATGTCGGTCTTTAATAATATCTCGTACATCGATGTTAATTAACCAATCATAGCTATTCTTCTGAAGAATGGAATGACTGTGATTGGTCAATTTCGTAACATCGATGTTATAACTTCGGCGTAAATCGAACCGTGTAAATGTAGTCATAGGCTACGGTCATTCTTTGATTAGTCAATTCGTAAAATTCTTTGTTCTGATTGGTCGCTCAAATGCTTCGAAGTGTTTGTAGCATCAAGTGGACCGCAGCTATAAAGGTGCCTACTGATGGACGCGACAAATGCTGCGCGCGGCAGCGCGTCACTTTAGAAGGAATTAGATTTTAGGGGCTTTTGAATCATCTGCGTTGCCACAAGTGAAGTTGGATTAATCCAACTTTACTTGCAGCAACGTAAAAGTGACTACTTGTGCGAAATTTAAAAGAAAAGATTCAGTGGCTAGAGTGAATTCTGAAATTCCAAAGGTTAGCTTATATTTATGTTTCTGTACGATTTTAATACAAAGATATTAGGATAATAATGTTACACTAATTAGAGTAATATACGAGTATATGATTATTTATAATTATCAAGATTGGAGGTTAAGTGTACATTTTGTTGGTCCTAGAAAGCAAAAACTATAATATGTGCGAATAAGGGTCATTGTCACCAAGCTCAGTTGATCTAACTAGGCCAGTTAGTCCATCGGAATTGACCAATCGCATTTATCATTTTGTTTGAAGAATTGACAGATTGGTCAATTCCGATGGATTAATTGGCCCAGTTAAGTTAACTGAGCTTTGGTGACAGTGGCCCTAAGTCATCTATTTCAATTCTTGTAAACATTTATGATTTGGAACCAAAGTTTCGAATAATGCACCGCGTGATATTAGTATTTTTTTGTTGCAGAAGGTATATACATATGGAATGTGCGAGACAATTCTTGAAGAAGATGTACATAATGAATCTTTGAATATGTTATTAATGCAAATACAACAAATGGTCTATTTTCTGACGTACACTAGACTGCACTAGAACTCTCTTTTCGCGTAATTGCGCATTAAGGTGCATTCACATGCAAGCGTCAAGCAGCGGAAGCAACAATCAATCAGCTGGACGATACGGGCAGTAATGTAAAAAATCGCCTCGTTGATTGGTTGCTGCTTCCGCTGCTTGACGCTTGACGCTTGCATGTGAATGCACCTTTTCGTGAGAAATATCTATCGTACATACGCAATCCCTAGATGCTTTTACGGACATCCGGTACGGATTGCGGACTGTATGTGACGGCACCCGAATGGGTGCATTTAGTACTACAACCGCTCACTGAGCGCTTGCATTTTATTGGATGTATTCAGTACTACAACCGCTCAATGAGCGCTTGCATCTTATTGGCATATTCCGTTAGAACTAAAAATATAGACCAAACAGATACAAGAGGTCACTGAGCGCTCAGTGAGCGGTCGTGGTACTGAATGCACTCATTGGCTTCTGCACACAAAAAGCAGCAATGGCTGCGTTCAGCAGACTCAACAGTTTTGCAACCGTTTTATGATTGTCTGCTGAGATAGGACCATTCTTCTAGATCTAAAAGTATGATCCAATTAGCGCGAAGGAAACTTCCAACAGTTGCAAAACAAACGTTCTGCTGAACGCAACCAATGTTTGCCGCGCAGCGGAAATTGGCGCAATAGCCAATCAACGTCTCGCTTGCTCGGAAGTAATAGATACATAATTTCCACCGCGCGACAAAAGTTGAACTCAATCCAACTTTTCCGCGCGGCGAAAGTAGTATTACATCATTTCTAGAAGTTTTGCAAGGTGAGACTGACTTAAGAACATAGAATTATTAGTTAGTGTAACAACTTTCGCCGCGCGGTAAGCGTTGCCGCGTTCTGTGTGCAGGAGCCAT